CATATCTTCCTTCTGTATTGATTGAGCCTCTAATAATACTAGATTATAATCTTTGTTATACTGTATAGTAATCAACTCTTCAAAAGTCTGTCTCTCCCACTAATCTGAAAATTTCTTCATGGTATGGATTTTTCTTTTTGCCCATCTGTTATTGCTTCTCTCCTCACAACATGTGTGAATTTTGTATAGGTGTTGCTAGGAAAAAAATGAAGAATCACATCCACAGAGTCAAGCCTGACCGTATGTTTCCTGCTAAGAATGTTTTATTGAAGAATCAAATCTGCATTTGTACCAGGTCATTGCTTGCATCCTCAGCCATCCTGTAGACATTGGTCTCTCAGTGGACTCTGACAGAGGGATCTTGGTGTCCTTGAGCACTGGGAAAACTCAGCATTTTCCATAATTATTCAAATAAAGTGCACCACGACTCTTCCTACAGAAGAAGTTATTTGTTAAAAGGGAGGCTTTGGAGACCTTAAATGAAAAGTTTCACATCCTTAGAGCAATCTAGCTAGAGGACTATACAGTGTGAAAGATGAACAGTGAATCACTGAGCTTCAATGTGGTAGAAAAGAGGAATTTAATGCAGTAGTAACATCTAGTATTAGGATCCAAAGAATCTGCAAATTTCTCTTTTAGTTGCCACTTAGTAATATCATGATGCAGAGCAATATTCTCATTTTCTTCAAGTCAGTTTGCTCCTTTTATCTTTTCTTTTCCTCCTTCTGTCTCTTTCCCTTTTGCTTTCTTTTTTTATTTTTAATATTCTGATTGTCAAAGAACCGTGTCACTAATATAGTTCATAGTAACTTGTTAGGTGGGTAAGATGGTTTCTGACTATTTCTAGAAGAGGCTATTTCTGCAAATAATATATTAAATTCAGCACTTACATAAAAGCAGAGCAAAATGAACATTTATTGCCATATGTTTTTCCATTAGATCCACAGACAGGTCTGTATTCCATGGTGCATACATCAGAAGATTCGGTGCACTGAATCTGTCCAGTCAAGAACAAAGTTTCATGTTTCAAGTCATTAAATCATAGGAAATGTGAGCCCAGGATTTCAAGGTTATAGCAAGTTGGATTGTGCCCCTGTACTCTAGCTTAGGTGAAAGAAAAGACTCTGTCTTTAAACAAAAAACAAATTAAAGTCATAAAATATGAATTTTTAATAAACCTTGAAAGATCATTTAGTTCAAAATTCCACATTCAAAAAGACACTCCTGCAGCTCACATACTCTGCCCCCACCATGTTAAACTCTCCTTACAGCAAAAGGCAGCTCAGCCTGTGCTTAGGCCCTCCCTCTCATTCAGTCCCTGTATCTAAAGGATAATTGTGCCCTGTGGATTCTGTCTGGTACTTAATTCTAAATTAAGAATTCTTAATTCTAAATTAAGAATTAAGTGTGCTGTTTCCTCACTATACCATTATTCACTCTCTTCAGGCCCTTGATATGTCTTGCCCAAACTGTTTTAATTGTCTGCCATTTATTGCGCTTCCTTCAACTTTATTGGAGGCTTTAATTACTCACCACTATGATGCTGGAGTGACATTTGAAAAATCAAATTAGTCCTTGTTTTTTCAGTACTTAACTCATTTCCCATCACTAGATAATCCTCTCCTGATCTGCACTTCTCTCTGCAGGTGCAGCTGCTATGTCCTCTGCTTCTCACTCTTGTTAAGCCTCTGGGCTGACATTCCCAGCTATGATATTCCTGCCCCTGGGTCTTTCTGTGCCTTTGCTCCTGCAGTCTTCTGTGTTACCTGAGCTTAGCCACTTCATCGGGCCAACTCCCACTCTTCCTTTAAATCTCATTTTAAGTACTTTTAGAATAGTTTCATGATGATGTTTTTTCCTCCCACACCCATCAGATTGGGTTAGGTGTTCCTCCTTAACCGTGCATTGCCTTAACTGCCACAATTTGTGTTTACAAAGCTTTTATATCACATTTTAAAGTCTTTTAAGAACTATTGACATTGCATACACATTGCTCTTTACCCCGAATTAATCCACACTTGTTCTTGAATTTTTTCATGCTTTATTTACAACTTCCTTTGCTGTTGTGAGAGTGTTTTAAATACCTAATTTCCCATGAAATCCTCATCTCAACCCTCTAATTAGATTCAGAATTAGAAAATAATCATACGTATACCAGTATGTCCCATTTAAGGGCTCTCAGTAAGACGTGTGAATTCGGCCTGTGCTAATTTACGTCTTTTGTTTAGGCTTGCCAAATGCTAGAAAATTTCCAGAAAATGTATGTTAAAATAGCTGTTTTCTATGCAACTGAGGAGTTAACATTTTACAGTAAAAATAAATAAAATTTCTGCATATACTTACACATTCACCATCATGAAGTTTTCTGAGTTGAAATTCTTGATTTCTGGAAGAGAAGATTTTGTTAAATGCATAATGTAATAATCTGAGATTTTTTAGTCTAAAGAATAAAATATATGTTATTTCTCTTTTGTCTGATTTGGACTGAGAATGAGGAGTTCTGTTTGAATTACTACTTTATTTGGCTAATATTGATCATAAACATCATTACTAAATGAACATTTTTAGAACAACTAAGAATATAAGAAAATAAAATCACCAGTAAACTAGATTGGATATTTAAAAAAAAGTGCCCCATGAATATTGAGATGAAAATAATATAGTGTGAAAACAATCTTAAAACTGAGGTCAAGACTAAGAAAATATGTCCAAATCTTTTCCTGGCACTTATAGTCTGCAAGATTTTGTTACACAGAAACCTAATACTCAGAAAGGAGTCACTTTTCCTGCTGAATATTAGAGTCCTTCCCTCAAAAAAAAAAAAAATATATATATATATATTAGATAACGTAATCAATAATATCTCAGCAGTCTTTAATTTCTTCTGGTTATATCAGTGCATGAATTTGCATATCATGAGAAAATTTATTCTGAATAGCACTTACTATTGCTCTTGACTATAAATTTTCAGAAGAGCTAGAAAATGGGAGAAAAGATGGAGGAAAAGGATAAGAAGAAAGAAGAGCCTATTTCCCTGAGTATTCACTCCATGTCAGCTGTTTAGCTAAGATTTGACACATTTTATCACAGTAAATCCTAAATACTATTTTAATTTTTATCTTACAGATGACAATACTAACGCTTTCAGTGGTTTGGGTATTTGCATAATGTTACAGATCACTAAAGGAAGTCTGGATTTTAATCCAGATATTTGACACCAAACCCATAATCTTAAATCCCTTATCACAAAGTTGAATTTATACTACTCAAATACTGGTAATGACAATTATTTTACTATTCTAAAGACTCACATCTTAGGTGGAACACATTCTTCTTAGTAAAGCATCACAAGAACAGAGAAGCAAGAATCCAACATACTCTGTTCTAATATGAAGGCAGTAGAGGAGCTAATACAAGGGGGAGGAGGATGAACAAGTGGGAAGAGGGGAGGTGGTTGGGGTATGGTACCTCTTGGGGGCAGGACACAATTATAAGAGGGACTTTATCTAACAAATGCAATTAGTGTAACCTAATTATTTGTACCCTCAATGAATCCCAAACAATAAAAAAAAAAATGAAGACTTATATCTTGTTAAAAGTAAAGACGATGTATTTGTGGGGCTAGTGGTTTGGGGGATGGACTAATACTAACTGTATTCAATATATACTGATAACAAAAGATGAATATAAGTCACATTTGAGTACGTCTCGTAATTGTAGAAGTCAACCATGACTTGAGTATTACAAGTTTAATAGTTTTTTTGTTTGTTTGTTTGTTTCCTTTCTTAAAATGTGTACTCTTTCTTTGGCACCCTATGCAATGAATGTGTGTTTAAACAGAAAGTTTATTTTATGTTATTTTCAGAATATTACAGGGGTATAAATGTTTTAGTTACATGAACTGCTTTTGTACAGTTAGAATTAAAGTTATAAGTGTGCCCCTCACCCAGATAGGGTGCATTGTATAGGTTACGTGTGAACTTACCCCTCCCGTTCTATCCCCTCCCTTCTATCATGTTTGTTTTTTAAAGACTAAGCAGATTTGGGCTGATGTGGGTTAAAAAAAATAGGAGGGGACTCTACATCAGGTACTATATTTTACTTACTCATTTAGCTTACACATCATGCATTCATTGCTGTAAGTTCTCTGATCCGTGCCACACACTGGTTTAAAAACCCTTGAGCATACAATCACTGGGGTTTTACTCCTGTATTTGTCACAGTCCACCTGCAATTAGAGAAAGAATAATGCCGTTCCTTCTCTTCATTCAAGCCTGAAGTCATTCTCATATCCAGATGAGAGCCAGCCAGTTCAGCTGCCCTTACAGCTCCATTTACATGTTACTTCTGATCTCATTTTTATAAAGACCACATAGAGAAGGTTGCACTTACCATTGTCCCTCTTGCTTGATTGCCAGAAGAGATGGAAACAAGATGCAATTGGAGAGAAGGATTTGGAGAAAGAACAAATCACACAATTAGAAGTACAAAGCTAAATTCGTGTTTACAGTAACAAAACCCCATTTCCTGACCACATCCCTCACCTAGCCAAGTCCAGCCTGAAACAGAGGTCATTTCTTTACTCAGAGGCCAACTCAGAATGGAGACAGAGATGGATATGGCCCTGACTTAAAATAAACTAACACGCAATCTAGAGAGGAAAGACCAAGTTATGGAGAAAGGGCTGTCACAGGTGTCCAGCCTTTGTAAGCATTCCCAGAGGATGCTGTGCTACATCTCAAAGCTGCACAGGTTGTTTCTGGAAAGACAAGTCACAAGCCTGAGACATCCAGGTCAGGAACTGATCAGAGAACCTCTATGTTTACCCCTCTTCTCAGTCTCTCCTCCTCTCACTGAAAGCCTACCCTCTCTAGCTTTCAGATCAATCTAAACTGAAAACTCCAAAAGTTACTTCAGACTTTAACATTTCATAATTTAATGAAGATTGAATACATTACCAGTAACATAAAGGCATGAATTTTTGAAAGAAATCCTGTTACCTGGTGGAGAGGTAGCCCATGCTGTGGCTGCCAGAGCAAAGATGACAAAAGCAGTGACGCCCTTCATGGTGGCAGTGAATGACAGGGATGGAAGTTGGCTGCTCTGGGGCGAGGAGTCTGAGAGAGCGAGCACAGTCTGCTCCATACATGTATCCACTCGCACTGGCAAGGTCCCGCCTTCATTAGAAAATGACCTTTCCAATGATTGGCTGTAAACTCAAGATAGGATATTCCTTTCTTTTTTTTTTTTGAGGAAAGCTTCCTTGTGACTTTGACTTACAGACAGTTGGAACAGTTTTACCCTGAAAGTCATCTGTCAAAAAGGTGATTTGAATAATGATGCCCTGATTTCTCAGCATATACAATGCCATATTTGAGAACAAATTCAATAATTGGTGCAGTAAGAGAAAACAAACATTGAAATGACATATGTAAAGGGCATTATGTGTGTGAGTGTTATGTTATAGACATGTGAGTTGAAACAGAGCATAGAGGCAGTGAGGACACTTCTTTAAAATGTCTAGTTGTAAATAGCATTAATAGTTGGCACTGATAACCCCTTATTTCTAGAATACCAAGATACTGTCCAATTGTTTCAGGAAAATCCTGGGACAGGACAATAGAGAAAAACCACTCCCTGAACTGAGAGACCAAAGAAAGACTTCAACAAGTCCAGCTTAACCAATGAACAGTTTGTTAGAGGTCACTTACTAGGGCAGCATAGGAATCTTTTCCCCGGGACCTTCTTGCTAACAAAGTGCACATCTGCCCTCCCGCAGTGTTACCTTAAATCTCTCCCTAAAGAGTGAAGCAGAGTTTTTACTTGTAGCTTTGCTTGTTCCCAGTGAAATAAATCATCCAGTCACAGTACCATCCTCACATGCCCTCACATACCCACATTATGTCACTATTGCAGTTACTGCAGTTAATGTTAATATTTCCACTAGCAAGGATTATGGTATTACAGTTAGCTAAAGGGCATGCCACAACCAAGGCTGTTCTAAAGCAATCAGGCCTGTCCTGAGCTGGCTACTTCAAGACAGGGATGTGCTGAGTCTCCCAAGAAGGTGCTGGGCACCTTCCCTGTGCCCAGAAGTTATCTTGAAATTTGTTTAAGCCACTTTGTAACAACTTTTGCTAAGCACTTTAGACTAGTACAGTGTTTCTGTTTTGTGTGGGGACCTGTGTTTCCCCCTCCCCCAATCATATTCTATGAATGTACATCTGCTTACTATGATTTAATCATTTAAGTGATTTAAATGAATTTGTGAAATATGCATGTCATATTGTTATTTAAGAGATAGGGCAACAAACTCACAAAGATTAGGTGTACTCTATTTAGTTACATGGTTAACTATGGGGAGAGCCAGGTCTCCAAAATCCTAAACCTGCATTTCTTTTCTAAAATATGTTTTTTCCTTACTAAGATATACCACTTCATGACCAAAATGAATATTCATAATGAAAATTCTGATTTTAGAATGCTATCACCTGTATCTTAAGGTTGTAACCATGAAATTGTTCAGTACATTCCTCTGTGCCCATGTCTATATATTTCTGTCTGTCCATACAACCACTGCTTGCAACTTACTTTAGTATTTCTCCATAGTAGAAGCCTAGTGATTTCCAGTTAGTACTGTCCCCCATTTTATCTCACGTGGTCTTCACGTCATCTCTGTAGAAGATATGACATACTGTCTCTGCTTCACAAATGACAAGCCCAGGCATTAGAGAAGTTAAGCAAATTCTTCAAAGAAGAAAGCTATAGAGAGATAGACTCTTGACCAAAACCGGATTTTCTAATTTTAGATCTTATGGTCACAAGTAAGTGATTATGTTTCACACTTTTTAAAAGTGTGTGTCTTTCATTCACACTTCCAATTTCCCAATAACACTTTTTTTTAAATTAAATCATAGCTGTGTTCATTAATGCATTTATGGGGTCCAATGTGCTGGTTGTATATACAATTTGAAATACAACAAACTGGTTAACATAGCCTTCACTGAACTTTCTTAATTATTCTGTTAATTATGACATTTATACTCTACACTTAGTAGATTTGACACGTACCCTTGTAAAATGCACCATAAGTGTGGTCCAACCACTTACCCTCCCTCCACCCATCCTCCCCCTCCTCTCTCCTCCCCCTCCTCTTCCCCTTTCATCTTGGGCTACGTTCCTTTTGGAAGGAAGTTTGGAGATCACGTAGGGATCTAAAAATTGACCTGCCGTTTGATCCTGTAATTCCTCTACTAGGTATATATCCAGAAGACCAAAAATCACTTTATAACTAAGAATTTACACCAGAATGTTTATTGCAGCCCAATTCATAATTGCTAGGTTCAATAGCACCTTTTATTTTTCAGATAGAACTTTTAGCATTTTAGTTTGCACCATTTTAGAATTTCAGCACATATACTTCACCCTTATTTTGATCCTTCATCAACTTTTAAACTCTGCATACTAAAATGAAGTGCTCTCCAGATGCTTTTCTGATTGGGATGAAGGGTCTTCCCAAGTCATTGGGAAGCACTTGTTTAGACCTGTCATGGTCTAGGGAGATGACAGAAGTGAGAACAATGGCTCACAGGATGTTAGTGCTGTGGAGACTTCCAACCAAAATCTGATGCATGGTTTTCAAGCTTTTGCTATTGTTGTTTAATTAAAAAGAAGAACTTAATTTTCTCAAATATAATTTTATGAGGCAAACAGTAAGTGGAACAGAATTTTTAAGAGCAATTACTTAAATGAAAGTAAGTGTTCCAGGATTGCAGCATTTCGACCACTTGGCACAAGGTCCTCTGGAAACCAATTTGCAAGCTTCTGATGTAAAACAAACTGGAAACAAAAGTGAGGCCCTATGAGGGATGTATCTTATGCAAGGCCACTCAGTGGATCAGATTCCTCAACTGTAGACTGAGATTCTTTCTGCTATGCTGCATCTTCTCACATTAACACACAGTCCTATGTCTACATGGATTTTTTTTACCTCTGTTTACTTCCCCAAAGAAGATGAAGGAGGAACTGCTACCTTGGTTCTGGACTCGGCTCTCTGCTGCTTACTGGACATTATCACTCCCTGGACGTTTTACTTGATCTTCCAGGCCAACATGTGCCACAAAATCCTCATGCTAAGTCTGATTTTAAGTGTCCTCTTTCTAGATTATACCTGTCAGTAGTAACTTAATCCAGGAAACCTAGAAATCTTCATTTCCTCTCTTATTTTCACATTAAGTTTTGACATGTGTGTATGCATGTGTGCTTTTCGAGGAAAAATTTGGCTTGATTTTAAAAATTTTGTTCTTTTTTTTTTTTTTAAGTTCAGAGTTGTTTTTAATTTTGTTCTTTGTTTATTTTTTTAAAGTTCAGAGTCAAAGACTAATGGCCTATATATCCATCTCCCATGTTCGTTCCTTTCCAGGAAGTCTTTTAGGAATGATAGAGAAATTCATCCTGTTAACAATCCTTCTTCTTTTCTTTTTCTTCTTTTCTTTTGCCACCCATTTAGTTACTACCGAAGGATGTGTAAAGGGTAGGTAGAATTATGTTAAACTCATTATCCTCACAATGCATTGCCCAAATCAAAAATTATTTCAAAGAATCCAAGCCCATCTTTACTGGCCAGTTCCTTAACAGTTTCAAAGTTTTTGTTTCAAACAAAATCAGCTGTGATTCTAGGTAAGCTAGCCTTTCATGTGGATATGTAATGCACAAGAATTACTAGTTATCCCGTGTATGATCCTAAACATGGTAGGTATCAATTTTGATCAATAAATTTGGGTGAACAAAATTATCCATTCTTTTTTTTTCTTCTTATAAATAAATTTTCATTTGATTCTGGATTTGGGGAGACTTTGCCGTATTCATTATTGGGGTTTGTGAGAATATGAGGTGCTTTATTAATGGCCAGAAAATGAGAGCAGGACCTCCAATCCCTGAACAATCACAGTTGTGCCCTGCACACTGAGGGCCCACACCACCATAAGGAGTTCCCTTCTCTGAGGCTCCTCTCCAGTTCTTACCACACGTGGGACAGGGTGAGGTTAACCAAAACTGAACACCTGCATCTATGGTTCAGTAGACATGTTGTCAAGTCATAGAGTCAGGAGTATTCCACTTCCTCAGAATGCTACCAAGCCAAACATTTTTATTTGTACTTTTATTTTTGTTTGCATTTTTGGAAAAAAAAAAAAACACTTGACATGAGATTTACCCTTGTAACAAATTTTTAAGCATAAATATTGTGTTGTTAAATATAAGCACAATACTGTAGAATGGATCTCTGGAACTTTTTCATCTTATTTGACTGACACTCTATGTCCCTTGAACAGAAACTCCCATTGCCCCCTCCCCTCAACCCCTGCAACTGACATTCTACTTTTTGTTTCCACGAGTTAGACTACTTTAGATACCTTATATAATGGAACTGCACAATATCTGTCCTTCTGTTACTAATGTATTTCACTTGGCAAGCATATGACAAGGTTTCCTTTTTATAGCTAAATAATATTCCATTTTATACATATACATGTATATACCATATTTCCTTTATTCCTCTGTATATGGATATTTAGGTTCTTTCCATCTCTTGGCTATTGTGAATAGCACTGCTGAAGGGCAATTATTTCCTCAAGATCCTTATTTCAATCATTTTGGATATATACCCAGGAGTGGAATTGCTGGATCATATGATAGTTCTATTTTTAATTTTTGTAGGAAGTGCTATACTATTTTCTACAGTGTTTGTACCATTTTACATTCTCTCCAAGAGTACAGAAAAGCTCCAATTTCTGTACAGCTTCACTAACACTTATCTTTTTCTGACAATAGCCATCCTAACAGGTGTGAGGTTATATCTCCTTGTGGCTTTTATTTGTGTTTCCCTGATTAGCGATATTGAGTCTCTTCTCATGTAACTGTTGTCCATTTGTTAAGTCTTCTTTACATAAATGACTATTCAAGTAGCCCATTTTATAATTGGGTTTTACTATTTTTTACTATTGAGTTGTAGGGATTTCCTATATATGTTAGACATTAACTCCTCAAGAGCGTTAACTCACAAACTCCTTTTGCAATATTTTCTCCAGTTCTGTAGGTTGCCTTTTTTACTTTATTGACTCTTCCCTTTGCTATTAAGGAATGTT